GTGTTCTTTTAAAACCAAACTAAAGACCTTCCATTTCTTAAATGCTGGAGGACGGTGCTTTGAAACCAGAAGCACTTCATTCTGTTCCCCACCACCTGGTGATGTATTGTCACTCCTGGTTCTTCAGCATTATCATGATCTCACAGGTGATGTGCTGCTGTGGGTCCTTGGCCGTGTTAAATACAGTTGGACACACCAACAAATATCCAGTTTTATCTCAGAGCTGTTACCTTTGAATATTTGACATGTTTCTTACTAATAACTTCCATGCTGTTGAGATCAGTAACTGCACACCTTACTTCTCAGGGAGGGTTCTAGTACAGTGACGGCCATCTACCCTACACACATCAATGTTCACATTCACTTCAGATCAAACCAAAGATATTTAACACCAGTGACGAAATCAATCAGGTATATCAATAGTAAATATGTGTGATTGGAAGAGTGCTACCTGCAAGGCTGAAGGAAGGCCTGATACTAAAAACCCCACAATGCATCACAGCATCTCGCCCCGGCAGTTCTTGATCTCAGCAGACTGGAAAGAGACAGAGTAGGTCATGTTTATTAAATTACTTTATTGTACTTACTTCATACTAGTTAAGGAACGTCACATTAGAGATGAAGATAGCACCTATGATCAGAGCAGTAAGTTACTTATTAGGGTAAAAAAAAAAGGCAAATAGTATGATGAACTGTATATATTATGTTACTGTATAGAAGCACATAGAACTTGACATAAACTTGGATTCATTCATCCCTGGTGTATTGCTTGGTATTAACTGAATAACACATTAATTAATCAAGGACAGAATCAGCCTAAATTGACTAACAGCAATAGGGATCAACAGATTTTTCAGGGCTGATTCTGATTATTAGTAATCAAAGAGACAGAAATATTGGGAACCAATGCCAACACAAAACTACTGCTACATAAAGACACTCACCATGGCTTTAAGTTTCTATTATTTTCTATTATTTTGTCCAACCCATTTATATCAACAAAGATAGGCTAAATAACAGAAACACCTGTATAAACAGTATAATCTTCATGAAGGACTGTTTATTACAGGGCTGTTGTATTAGACTATATCAGTTTTAGCTAGATGTTCCTAATAAATTGTCAACTGAGTTTACATTAATAATTATCAGCTGTGTGCACAGGCTGCAAAGGGCCTGACTGGAATGAACTGATTGCTCTTGGTGCTGTTTTCACCTGGAAACTGATACTGGCTCCCTGGCAGCCTAAAGATGTTGTTTAATACTTTTATCATATATTATTATTATCATCCACATATAAGATGTTTTACCCTCCTCTTCCCCTTTTAAAAATGAAGCAGAGTAACACGGGTCAGATCCACCCCTCCCTCCTCCCCAGCTCCACCCTCTCATCCAAACATGGTTTCTTCTGGCTCCAAAAAATTAAGCCAAATTCGAGGTTTCAAAGCAGCAGTTCACAAGCCAATGGGTGACGTCACGACAGTTTGCCACTTGTCACACACACGGTACAGTATACAGAACACCATATGTTAGTGTTTGACTGACCGAAGATCTAGTTTATTGAACAAGGTTCCCTGAGCTGATGGAATCTGGGGGCCACAGCAAATGAATTGGTGATTGTCAAATTTTTACTGTTTTCTTTTATGGTATATGGTGCATGCACAAACACACAGACTAGTAAAGTCCAGGCAGGAAGACAACAGCAAGAAGCGCCTGAGTTCAGCTTCAACCCTGGTTCTTTCTTGCAGTGTTGCTTGTTCTCCTCATGTTTCCTCCAGGGACTCTGATTACTAGAACAAGGACATGCACATTTAATTAATTGAGGACTCTAAATTGTCCATAGATTTGAATGTGTGTGTGTGAGTGTGTGTTGTTGTGTGATAAACCATTTTCCTGCTTTCCTTCCAGTGCATGCTGGGATACATTCCAGTATTTCAAACTTTTTTTGTTTAGAATTTGAATGTTTGATGTGATGAAAAAAAGTTTGCTATATTTGCACCCAGAATTACAAAGTTTGAATGTAGAAGTCACATAAATATAAAACTAATAACATTTTCGCTAAAATTACAGAGAAAATCTTTAAAATGTTAGTATGGACATTAACCTTTATAATAATAAGCTACATTTTTAATTACAGATAATTACTGTCATTTTACATACATTTGTATGTTATTTAAGAAAGCAGAAAAATGCAGTATAAATAATACAGTAATTTTTCTTTACAAAAATGGGAAATAAATATAATTCATTATTATTGGAATAATGCTTAAAATAGAAGTTTGGCTGTTAATTTACAGATAATTCTTTTAATTTTACAGACTTTTGTACACAATTTTAAAAAACTGAAAATTACTGATAGAAAACAAAATTAGTTTTTTTTTTTTTTTTTTTTTTTACAGTGTACGACTTTGAAAATTAAATGTCAAACAGCATTTCCATTTTAATTTTAATATCAAGATCCATGGATTATATTGAATTATAGCATTTCCTGTTTTAATTTTTACTCAAATATCACATGCTGTGCATATGTGGAAAATTATGGTGCTATTGTGGAATTACGTTTTCATTTTCAAGTTTACGTTATCATTTTAATTTAGTCCACTTTAGGCTTCCACAAGTTGCATCTTGATTGTTCTTACTGGTCCTCGCTCCATCATAGCTCCACCCAGCTCCACCCAGCTTCACCCTGAAGAAAAGATCTAATCAGCCAGAGTCAGTGGAAACGCCTGAATGTATGAGTCCGGCTCTTTCTTTTTACATGGCTGGATATATTTAAATAATATAATTACGATTTAATACTGTTACTGTTTTCAAACTGTTCTTTTTTTTTCAAGATACACGAGACTTTGTGAGTTATGACATGCTGCCAAAGTACACAGCAACCTCGCGAGACCACATGGTGACTGCAGATTGTGTGTTATCACTCCTCGATATTATTTTTATTCATAGTGATTTTAAACCAGAAGAAACCACAGGCCGTCCTGTTAAAGTCTGTAAAAACACGCATTACTGTCAACACTGGATATATTTTATTTTGTAAAATACCACGTTTCTAATAGGTAACGCTGTAAATAGTCCCGCCTTTCCTGTTGCCTGATTGGCTTGGCGAAACCGTTCCAGCGCTCCGATTGGCTCCCAATTACACAACACAGTTCCGCAGATCTAGTCTGTTTGTGTTTTGACGTTTTTTTTGGTAGAGAACCCCTCAAACCGCCACACAAGTTCATAACCAAGGAGACTGTCAGCGTTCAACGCCTCGGTTCGTAACTACAGTCACTTGACAATAACGTCTTGCTGAAACGTGACAAACGCATCTCCTCCTTAGCGGTTTCTACTGTGTCGTTTTATCACTACAGGGGAGTTATATCGGCTAACGCTAGCTAGCTAAGTTAGCCGCTTGGGTCCACATCCACCAGTACAACTTTAGCATTAGCCAATAGCTGTATTGTGTTTACATGACAGTTATCTTAAGTACTGCCCGTGTGGGTATGCTAGTTGTTAGCGGTGCATGCTAGTTGAATACATATTGAGGATATCTAACCGAGGCTAAAACAGCCGAGCTTGTTAGTGTGGTTTGCAACAGAAGCTCATCTCTTATCAGTCCATGGAAACGCTGTTTACTGCATGCAGCACAGTCTGTCTGTCCTGTTGTTGACATCCTACAGCGTTTGGTCAGTGTGATAGTCAGCTCATGCATGCACCGTTAATGGACTTGTTAAAATACGTGAACTCTACTGTTTAATGCACCAACACCTTCTTTCATTAGTCAGCAGTTATGGTTAATTTTGGTAGAAAAGGTAGGGGAATGTAAATATGTGGTATATCCTAATTGTGTATGTTTTCACTGGCTCACGTCAGTCTTACCAGAGGAATCAGTCATATATCATCCTGCATATCCTTGACTTTAAAGTGGCAGCATGGAAGATTTTCATGTCTTTTAAGTCACGCAATGGTGATTGAGCCTATGACCCACTGATGAAATCATATAGGAAGTCCTTGCATTTCACAGTTGTATGAATTGGGTGTCTGGCATGACTCGTGTGCAAAATCACAAGAAACTGGAATCAAAAACAAACCTGATAATGAAACAGAGATCTTTGAGGCTGCTACCTTAAGTTTTGATTTGCTTGATAATCTATTCATTATCCACTGGCTCGAGTTAGTAGTGGCAGCAGACTTTTTCAGCCATGTCCTCTAGCTCCTCATGGAGCATCCTTAGGTGCTGACAGGACAGGGTCTCCTTGCTGTTTCACCTGCCTGGGTTGCTACACAAAGTTAGATGAAGCCTGAAGTAATAAACTGAAAATTTGACCGTTAGGCGTATAGTTCCCTCATCACAACAGTGACGTGACATGTCTGCAGGCTTCCAGTTGTTGCTGTCTCCCACAGTCTCCCTACACCTAAATAATAATATGTTTTGAATGGGGTTTGGTGTTACTTGTTCTGGTTGATGACCAGGTGCCTCTTTGCCAGGTCAACACAGCTGATTTTTACTGTGTTATACAGACAGGTGTTTCTACTGTTTAGTCTACACTCACTGATATAATGAGGACAAAATAATAGAACTACCTCAGTATGGAATATGGATGTGTGCTAGACTGCATTAGGTTTAGCTAGGTCCTCAGACTGCAGATGAAGGTCAGTGCATTTATTCGAAGCCTTTACTCGTCCCCCAGGTTTATAATGTAGTTTTGATTCTTTCCATTTGTGTTGATTAAAGTCCAGTGGTTGAGTATGAGGACATCTCAACATGTATCTTGCAAATCATATTAAAATTTAGAGCATTAAGAAGAACAGGTTGAACTCTGTGCTAATTTTTGAGGATGCTGTTATTGACTGTTCCACCCTGCATTGTGTAAATGCAGCCAATTTTTGCATGCTGCAGAAAAACAGAACAATTTGTTTGTCAGTGAACATTAGTATGATTGCAGACTAATTATTCATTCTGTTTGTGTGCTGTCATCATGTTAAGATCTGTCTTTGTACCTTTTCAGGATAATAAAAAAAGAAAGAAACGGAAGACACAATGGCGTCTGACTCTCCACGCAGACCAAGTCGCTGTGCTGGAGGGGTTCTGGTGCGAGCGCAAGCTGCAACGTGAGGACAGAATTTATAAATATCATTTTATTATAAAGATAATGCACTGTCACTCCTTGAAATACATGTTATCTTGTTTTTAAACTAATGTAGTTGCCCTTCATGTAGACTATTAGTACTGCAGTGTAATTCTCAATACATTTTGACATGGCTAACTACAGTTGTGGAAACACTGATGGTGCTGTGACTGAGTCACGTTGATAAGTGCTTCATCATTAGCGCTGACATGAGCTTTTTTCTGTCACAGGGAGCAGTCGTACATGGAAAGTGTTGTGACCTTCCTGCAGGATGTGGTCCCTCAGGTATTTTATCCTGCCATTTATTCACTCACACTAACAGCTGTAAGTTATTTTACTGATTTAATTAGTTCAGCTTGATGATGATGATGATGAGGCGGCTACAGAAAGAGTTTAATTTGCGGCGACATCTGACAGTGCACGGCAGTATTGTGTTGATCAGTATATAACACACTGTATATAATCAGCATATATGATGGAATTGAGGCTCGTAAAAGTAACGGAAAAGTTCTGTTTTGATGTAGGTAATGAAATTGTGCGGCACGGTGATGCATTTAGATTATGAGAGAGATTGAAGAATCCAACCCTGTGATACGAGCCACAGGTGCGTCTCCTGAATCAGTGCCACCCACAGCGACAGGTGTAGCGCACCTTTGGCTTTGGCTTTAAGACAGAGCGAAGGGGGTTTATAGCAGTGATGATGCTGCTGAAGTAAAACTCAGAAAGACTGATTGACATGTGGTGTGCATTGTTTTCTTTAGAAATATTAAGTGCATGAGTCAACTTTAACCCGCGCCGTAGTGTTGAAAAAGTAAACTAAAATATTGAATCTCATTACATGAAAATCGCAATACATATCCAATCGAGAGTTCAGCATATCGTCCCAGCCGGAGATAACAATGGTACAGAACAAAAATCTAGAAAACAACAACATGTTTCATAAGTGGAGGGATTTGACTATTTTTACCAAACTTTAACTGACCTGAACGATCAGTAGCAGCTTCGATTAGAAACAGGGAGCGTTTCATACACAAAATCTACACCCTCTCCCAGTGGTCTTTCTTTACTTTGAGGGTTTATTCTGCTGCAAAGATCCTTTAACAGGTCAACTAAATAATGTAATAATAATTGTTGTTGTGTATATTTTGCTCATTGTCTTTTTCTGTGTTTGAACTACAGGCGTACACTGGGGCTCCACCCACTGACGAAAAAGAGAAAATAATTTGGGTTCGATTTGAGAAAGCTGACATCAACGGTGAGTGTTTCACTTCACTGTCAGAAGTTAATGCCTTACACTTGTCTTCTGTGAATACAGGCAGCTTTCTAAATTGGGCTCTTTGGTTAAAAACCACGAGTGTTTTCTGTCTATAACTGTTAAAAATCTAAGAAAATAATGTAAATTTAAACTGTTGAATCAAAGTTTGGCTACAACAAAAAAAAAAGAGCAGCCTATCGCCACTGTTTAGGCTGCTGCGTTGAACTCATTTCTCCTGCTTTTGAATGTATTTATTATGCTTTTAAATCCGGTGACGTTCAAGATATGTGGTTGTCACGTTTTATTCTTGTAGATTGCAGTTATGGCACAATATGCATGACACAAAAAGTTAATGCAAGATTGATATTGATAAAAGTGGAATGAAACTAGGATGTGGAGCAGCGACACGAAGACCTTAAAATCAGAAGAATGAAAGTTAAGGACGAATTGAAGAAGATATTTCTGACTGAAGTAAAAAAAGGAGAAAAAGAATTTAGTTGAGAGAATTCAGATTATATAAATCACATTTGCAATCATGTAAGAAAGCCTAATGTAAATCTGTTCTGGGGTTCATCTCAGTGAAAATATTTAATTCATGTGTGGCCTGTTTTGTTTGATTATTCAACACATCCTCTTCATAAACTTTATTACTGTCTCACTCTCTTTTTTCCCAGACACTTCCCGCAACCCAGAGTTAATGGAGATGCACAGCGGAACCACTGACCCTCCCCTCTGCCTCATGATCGGCTACACTGACGGGATGCAGATCTGGGGCGTATCTGTAAGTCACACACCCGACGGGCCTGTAAACCTGCGGCCTCGTCTCATACCACGCTCCGTTTTCAGATACATGTGCTCAAAAACTTAGACCAAAATCTCTTAAGGCTTTATTTTTCAATATATGGACCCACAAGTCCCAAAGTAAAGATATTATTCCATGTTTATTTTAAAATATACAACACACAGACGATCTGAAAAAATCCTCACCCTGTCAGTGGACATCTTTACACTTGATCATGTGTTATTGTGTAATGTAAACGTTATGTCCTCGCTGGGGTTCAAAGGTCGTACACTGTTGGAATCATTTGCTGACCCTGGAACGTGTCTGGACGTGTCCGACATTCAACATGCTGATAATCGATTAATGTTTCACCTTTAAATAAGTCGATTTTGCGAATTTTAGTATTTGTTTGAACCATCATTCATTTTTCACAGAACATTAAATGACTACATTTGCTGATAACAGAGCAGTTCTTTGAGATTCTCTTGAATAAAATACAACATAATTAAAAACACAACAACCACTGCAAAAAAAGAAGATCAGAATATTAGAATATGGTTTTCATAAATATATTCCAACCTTGATTTAAAGTAGGTAAGACTAACTTAAGCTAAGTGGAGCTCCCATTATAAATGTATAAAAATATGACAAGAAACAATAATATACTGTATGCATGAAGATTACAGTGGTAATTCAAGCAATACTGGAGTTCCTTCAACTAATGCTGACATTTTTAATCACCTCAGCTGTGATGGAGCTGCATGTGGTTCCTGCTTTTTCGCTGTTTAAATGCAGTACATTTTCTGGTCCACTAGGTGGCAGCGTTGACCACGTTTTGAACAGTATGTGATTCTAACAGTAGCACTCACCCCCTCGACCCAGGGCTGTAACACAGGTCCTCAAATCGACTGACAGGTTCTGTCTTCGTCTCAAACGGAAGCGCAGCACAAACAAAAAGTTTCTTTTGGAGTCGAGCAGAATGGAAATGACAAAAGTTTAATAGATTCCTGACGCTGAAATGCATCAGACTGTTTCTCTGTCGAGCACAGGAGTAAAATGGCAGTTGTTGTTTAGCTTCGTGGGTCAGTGTTGCTGATGAGTGTCCACAGAGCAACTTACAGTATCAGCATCAAATCTGAGCGCATCAGCTTAACAAAAATATAAACAAATACTCACAAACTATACTCACAGTTTGCAGTTTATTAGGAACACCTAGCTAAAAAAAAATGCAGTCTAATCCTGCTATAAATCCTTCTTCATTAATGTTATAATTTGTTTTATATACCTATTCGGCTTTATGGTAATTTTAAATGAAGTAGTGTGTGGTGCTGATGAATTGTATTGCATTGTATGGACAGGTGTTTCTATTATTTCTCCACCCCATTCATATCAGTGACAGCTTAGTTTATTTATATAGCAGCACTCAGAAATAAGGCAAAGTGCTTTACACAGGCATGGAAATACATTAAAAATAAAACATAAAGATGACGTTAAAACTGCATTTAAACAATTAAATAATCTAAATAACAGAGACACCTCTCTGTAAACTGCAGTACAGCTCAAGAGCGGCACAAACTGCGTCCTCCACGACGAGCACACAGTCGAAGCAGCGCCGCTCTAAAGCAGTAAAAAACTGAACGAATGAACAGTCTATAATAATATCATTCATGTGGATGAGTCACTGTAGAAAAAGATGCATAATTACAGTATAAAGCATTAATGATCTGAAGGTTGTTACAGGAAATTGAGACAGGTCATAGACCAAATTAAAGTCCAATCAAACACCACAAATTACATCAGTGGAAACTACCATCCAGTAATACTAAGAATAATTATCATTTATTGATGTTAAAGTATTAGTTGTGGGGCTGATTTAATGGGTAGCCTTTTTTTAGATTGTGTTGTACGCAAACTTAATTTAATCCAAAATACTATTTAACACATACTGCGTGTAATTCCTGCATCAGCACGCTCCTGATCTGATGTGAAGTGTGGCCACAAGATGGAGACCTTCTGATGAGCTGGGACATAATGACAAGGGTGATCTGGGTTAACATGACCTCTGTTATTTACAGATCAGATGCGAACCACAGAGACTGGATCATATATTAAATAAACACATTAAAACAAACGTCAGAAAGCCATACGGACTAACATTCCTGCACAACACGGGCGCACTGTAGTCGTATGTTTGAAATGCATTCCTCCATTCAAACATGTTCTCGTGACCGGGCGCCGAGCAGCTCGGGCAAAGATCTCTCATTTAGAAAATTCACTTCTTTTAAAGTCAGTCCTGGAAAATCATTAGAAGATTTCGCCTGCTCCGTGACTTAACAAATTACCCACAACCCCGCGAAGGCTTCACTCACCGGGTATCACCTTTCATGTAGACGCTGTCACTGAAACATGCAAACTTCACATACATCCTGTGAGATCTAAACACACCAGAGTCCTTAATCAGCCTCTTTATAAACATCCAAGGGCCGCGGGTAGAGGGACACACTCTTTGCTCTCTACCCGTGAACACACACATCGGCCACTGTGATGTGGCAGCTCCTTTTCGCTGCTGGAAGGTTTTTCTCTTGCAGTTATTATGGAGGATTACAGCTGTTTCAGCCACACTACACACACCCAGTTAAATATAAGCTTTGCTCTGCCTCTCAGTTTCAGCTGAACCTGACACCATTTCTGATTCACACCACCGCTCGCCCCCGGCCTCTTATCACATGCTGTCCTTCCCTCATTGTTTCCTTTCAGTTTTGAAAGTTTACGGGATGTTTCTGGGCTGCGTTTTTTCGCAGGGTTTTAAGTAAGCACAGAGGGTGCCTCGGTTTCTGGCTCTTGAGTGGCTGTGAAGTGTTTGTGACAGTTGCTAAGCCAACACCCTCTGTAATGGCCCCGGCAGAGTGCGAGCGTACACGTGTACACACATGCTTTCACACACTCGTGGAACGGGGACTTCTGACCGGCTATATGGACGCTGACAGAGGTGTTTAGGCGATGAAGATCACTGTCGCCTCACACTGGAGAGGTGTCATCCACCGCCGCCTGATAAGAGGCAGACTGTCGTGGACTAATTGTCTGTCTGCGTACGTGTTGAGATGAAATGACCTGCTGGGAAGACAGGTGTCTGCGGCAAGTGTCAGTGTTAATGCTCGTGCTGTGGACCTGGGTCTCTATTACACAAATGTTCTCAGTCCATAATGCTGATTTAGGCCGGAGGGATCTTTATATATGGCATAAAATAAAATACAAAGACAGACACTGAAACTGTGCAACTGACGCTTCAGTTTTTCATTGTGCATTAGTGATTTTTATTCTTCTGCTGAATACGGTTGACTATAGGTATTATGGACTCGTTACATATGGAAAAAGTATAAAATCTGTTTTGGGGTTACCCTCATTTCAACTCGTTTCAATATTAGATATTCATTTTATAATAAAAAGTGTTGAAGCCGCACAGGATACATTCATTCAACCAATCAACAGTGGGTGATATTTTAGGCTGTTTGACAGTAGCAGTCTGTTTATGAATGTTGCTGCAGAGTAAATTATCTTTCTTAATTTAAAGGGAAGTAAATGATCGCTCCCTCCTACCTCACCTCTACTGCTTTATCCTGTCCCTTCATTTAACCTGTGTTGGTGCCAGCTGTGAGCGACAGTGTGAGTATCTCAGCTGTAATTCCTTAATAAACAGTTGCTTAATGGAAATGATGAAGATGTTTCATATCTGAATCCTGGGCCTGAAAATAATTTTAATGTCTGGAACACATCAATGAAAAATGGAAATAATAAGTTGTAGTCGAGGTCAGTTAAACAAACCCGCATTCTTGGTTCCACAACATAGAAATTTACAAATTGTTAATAGCCAGTATTGATTTGGGAATTGAACATGTGCTAAACATTGTTTATTTATTTGATTTAACCTTTATTTAACCAGGAAGTTCCTCAAGATCAAAAAATCTCCTTTTCAAAGGAGACCTGGCCATGATAAAACAGCATTACAAGGTTACAAATATGATCGAACTGAACATATCAAATGCTGCAGTTCTTTATTTTTAAGTTATTTTTTGGGGAATTTTATACCTTTTAATAGATGGAGACAGACAGGAAATACAGGGAGAGAGAGTAGGGGAGTGACATGCAGTAAATGAACTAACCGTTCGGCTATCGGGTCGCCAGAATACTGCAATTGTTTTCAGTTGTTCAGCCAGTTTACTATTTAATAGATAGTGTCATGGTGTAGATGTGATGCAGTCCACACTGCCTGTTCTTCAGGGTGTCACCTGTATCTCTATCTGTATCGTCAGCATGTGTACAGTCTGTGAGGGAGTTCATCTCTGGATGCCTGACTTAAAAATAGTCATTTAATACCTGTTTGCTTCGCAGCTCGACGTCACCGTGCTGCAGCGGTCCGGCGCTCGGCGCTCTTCCGTGTTGTGAAAACCCCGCGAACAGGCACCCGTTACTGTATGATCCCTAAAGCACCTGCTCCCTCCAAACCTCCCAATATGTCCCGCACTGTGTTAGCGAGCGTGCTCACTTGTGAATATGGCCCAGATATCGGTTCACAGCTTATGGCATTACATTTGAGAGATTAAAACAAGAGGAGCAGACACACTGTGATTCCACAAAAGCATCCGAGCCACAAATGAAATGAATATAATGAATAACTATATGCAGGGAAAACAACTTTGAAAAAGCAATTTGGCATATTGCATACGCCAGGCCGCTAATGTAATGGTGGGAATGTTGCGGATGGCAGTGGATGTCACACAGAGCCATGTAAGACGAGGATGAGCAGCGGGGTAATGCACAATAACCCGGCGCATTAACCTCCGGCCCTCCCCTCCTCTCGTTTTAATCCAGCAAATTCCATTATTCTCCCTCGCAGGTCCATTTGTCTGTATGGGAATCCTGTCCTGCTGCCAGCCTCCTTTTTTTATTCCTGCTATCAGTGCTCGTATAACCTGCTCGTGTCTCCAGTGTTAATCTACCACTGCCGGGCCTCAAGCACTTTGAATAAAAACACGGCTCCAAATCCGCCACTTTGAAAAGGCTACTAATTGCACAAAAGAGCGATCATCCCCTCAGATGGGTTTAAAGACTTAAAACAAACAGATTAAATCACTAGTAAAGTGATAATGCAGGCTTCAGTGTAATTTAACGCATAAAAGAATAACAAAAGTGGGGCATTCTGCGCTTAGAACAACGTGCCATTACACACGCCAGACACTGCCAAGAGCCACACAGGCCATTGACCTAATATACTGGCATCGCATATGAACACATGAAGCCTGAACCGAGCCAGGCACACACACACACACACGCACGCACGCACGCACGCACGCACGCACGCACGCGCACACACACACACACACACACATCTATTAAAATGCTTTACACTGCGGTAATTCTGCTGTAATAAAGAGCAGAAATGCAGCAAACTTTAAAATCCTCTCTAACAGGAAAACCTTTAGTGTTTATCCCTAAATGTAATTTTTAAGCCTGTGCAAATGTGCTGGAATGCACTTGTTTGATCAGCGAAGCTGCTTGATGAACAGAGGTTTAAGTAGTAAAAGACTTGCACAGCTTTTTACATTGAACACCGGCCATTAAAGCATCACGCACTTTAACAAACAGCTGCTGATTTCTCATTTCTCTGCACATCTCTATGCTCAGTGTTGTATAATAATTGGTGACATGTTGATAGGGTTGGGTGTTGACAACCCCCCCCTGCTGCCCACACCCACCTCCACACACACACACACACACACACACACACACACACAGACAAACACACATTATACATAAACACGCATAATTTACAATCTCATCAGAAACCTGTTGAGCACTCGAGTCAGACCTCTCGTCTTTATCCTTTTTATGGTCGTGCAATCAAAAGTGGAGGGCAGTCTTGGGAGATTTTAAAGATCTGCTGGAAACACTGGTTGGAGTGTTCTTCGTGCTTACAGTCAGACTGGGACAGAGAGAGACATCATGGGCTCCTGCCTACTTGGCATCAGCCCGTATCCCCAACCCTTCCTTGTTGGCTGCATCACAGTGAGTGTAGGAAGCTCGTTTCCACTGCGATGCCGCTGGGCCTTTTATTCTGTCCTCAGTAGATTTTGCTTTGTGGTTTGGCTGGAACTTCAACCACCAGACCGCCCTCGTTCCTCATCCTCCGTTCTTTGCCTGCCCTCGTCTCTCTCTCTCTCTCTCTCTCTCTCTCTCTGTCTCTCTCTCTCTCTCTCTCTATGACGAGTCGATTCCACACAGTTGGAATAGATTATTTTTCTTACAGTGCGAACAAATAAATTATTTGTCCTTGTGCTTTGTTGTTCTGCACAAATCTCCCAAGACCTATATCCTTCGTGGTTATTTCACACATTATTCCCTACATTATGGAGACTGCAATGCATGCTGGTCCCAGGGTAATTGTTCATTAAGACCAAATAAAGGTGGCGTTTCCAGACACACAGCAAAATGTCTGATGCCCTTTATGGTAACCTGTGAATTTTTGGACCTGGAGTTGCACTATGTGTGAGTTTATGGGCATGCACGGGGCACACGGGTAATACAATACACATTACTACCTCACTGTTCCACTGACCTGAAAGTGGCTGTAATCTGCCAAAATCTTCCGTCATGCACCAACAAAGGCAGAGAAGAAGACTGCTAGCTGGTAAACATGAAAAAAAACGACTGGATTTAAAATATTCAAATGCTGAATGTTTAATGCAGAAGGCTTTCAGCACAATGGTTTGACCTCAAGGATACACTCAAGTCCAGCGACTGTAAACATAACTTTTGTTTGTGTACAATAAAACTCCACAGGGCCTCTTTAAAACAAGACATCTGTAAATGCAGCCACAGGTAGACAACATGTCTGGACTGTGTAATGCCTGAATCTGTGTTTTTTAAAGCTTAGCGTTAAGTCTGATGTCCGTCTGTATCGCGGAGAGCGGATTGTCTCTCGTCTCTGATGGACCCGATATATGAACTAATAAATTATCGTATTTTTCTTGTCTGTGTTTCAGTTGGCGGGAGAAGCCCAGGAGCTGTTCTCGGTGCGCCACGGTCCTGTCCGAGCTGCTCGCATTCTACCAGCGCCTCATATCAGTGAGTATCCTCTGCGCCTTAACTCTGCCTGAACACAGATCCGCCGTCTTTGAAGTACATACTCCACATTCTGACTTCAAATGAGGCGTCGCTATATCTGCATGTTTACTTTAATAATAATGTTTAACTCTCAATAGAGACTTTTATATTGCCATGGGTGAATATTATATATTTACAGACGTATGTGATATTTTTTCATAATAACGATTTAAAAAAAAACAACTTATATTATTAGTAAAAAACACCTGGAACATAAAATACAATAATATAATTATATATTATTTAAAAAGAACAACTGAATCATAAAATGCAATGATATAATTGTTGTATATTTCCATATGAAGAACTGTTCTGGTTGAACGATGGTAGAAAATGTATTTAGTTTTAGCTCATGATGACACTCTTTGTGAGCCACGGGTTAGCTGGTTAGCTTAACTAACAGCTAACCTACCAGCACTGAAGCTCACTCACTTTTTACGATATGTGTTGCTTGTTTACTTTGTACAAAAGCCAAAGTATATAAATGACAAGTTTTGGTTTTAGAGGGAGTTACGTGCAGGACTGTTTCTTGGCTGGGAGCGGTGACTTCCTGTCGTCATTTTGAAGTTTCCAGACTTTCATTGGAGACGCCATTTACGGCACAGATATGGGAGTGATATTTATTTTCTCATCAAACTCTCAGCGAAATAAAAAAAAAAAAAAGATGAATGTGTTTTTAAAGAACATATAAACAAATGAAGCAAAAACTTCCAACTTCCAACAAGGGTCAAATCACAGTATCTGTTTTTTATTCTACTGCAGCAGCTCCAAGACAAAACAACAAGAGTAATAACTCAGCTCAGCTGTTTTTGCCTTGAACTGCTCCTCTTAGCTTTATTTCTCAACATCCATCTTCCAAATCCACAGAGGTGGTAAAGACATGTACAATACCTTTCTTATATCCTGCAGTTTTTCTACATAATTTTAAACTCTGTGTCCTAGAAAAAAAAAATCACTTTGGTTAACTTGATTTCACCATTCAAGGTCGACACTTAAAATTAAATGTTGTATGGCTCATCTTAATGCAGTTTTGGGTTGTGGGCATTTTAAGTGGTGCTACATCATTAAAATTAAAGAGTGCTCCATGCTGCCTCATCCTAATGTTGAAGTCAGTCTACGATTATTGTTGGCCTGCTCTTAGTCCGTGGTGGCGAGCCTCTGAAGTCAGGGCTGCTTTGCTGCCAAAGCTCTGCTGGAAACCGATCACTGTGCCTTCACTGTTCTGTTAGTGATCTCTGTCTGACTCCCCTAAATCTTCTCTGTAAGATTCTTTAATATTTTGTTTAGGTAGACGTGCGACGTTATGGATGCTGCTTCCCTCCCCTGTTTACATTTGTCATTTGTAACCTATACCTCGTCTTCTCCCAGATTTTCTTTTCCCCCCTTCATACTGTATCTGGCGCTGCCTAATGCCATTTTAGATTCCCCAAACATTAAAAATGAATCTAACTTTTAGATGTCAGCCTCTCTTAAAAGAGCATGGGCTTCTTTGTAGCTGCCATTTTGCAGCAGACTCAAACAGTCATACAGGGAGACATCTAAAGTAGAAGAGGAGGAGGAGATACCAATCCTTCTATCAATAAACAATAATGTAATGCTGCCAGAAGATGTGTTGCATTAATAGTAAGTGGCAAAAGTCATTCTGGGAAAGTAATAAATCAACTAATATATGCAGAAGATGACACGAAAGGTTGGAGAAATGTGGGTATGTTAAATATTAGATTACAACAGATCAACCCCTGGAATGCATTGAGCATAACAAATTGATGATACCTAACAGAATAAGAGTATTTGAGAGGAGATGCTTTTGTTTTATTCTCTGAAGCCATACCTTCACCCTGCGCTCACATTGTATTGTGTACGCTTCACTGAGGTGGAAAAGTTGGTGTAATGATGTCTTCTGCGTATCTTTTGGAAATTCAGCTAAATTTTATATTAAATTTGAATGAGATTTCCATTGCATAGTTATTGTATTACTGGACATAATTTGGTTGCCATGACAGCCTGAGAGGCATGATAGCTAGAGCGGTTGACAAAAATCATGTATTCAACAAATGCAAAGACAATGAGTTTCAAAGGAATTTTATTCAAGAGACAGGACAGTTAGGGAAGAGAGAGAGCATGACATGCAGCAAAGGGCCTGAGTCAGATTTGAACCCAGGTCGCTGCGGTAACGACCGAGCCTAAATAGTATGCTCTCCACCAGGTGAGCCACTGGGGCGCCCCTTAAAAGGGAATTTTTATAGTTTCTTTGCTGAGTCCTTCATTATGCCATTATGTCTACTCTGAGAATGACATTTTAAAAAACACTGATGGAAAACCTCCCAGTGTGTTCTGCATCTTGTGAACTTACTCTCACTTGCGTCTGGACGATGCAGTTGCAGCAGGTGAGCAGAGTGTAGAGGGTGGAGTGAACCGTGGACTTACTTCAACCTGTGAAGGTGCCCAGCAGCTGGCGCTAAGCATCGACTCCGGCAGCTGAGATTCATCAAAGAGAGTCTGTCTGTAACCTAAACCTCGTCTAGTTGTGATTAATGAACATGGCAGCTGCGCGGCTGTTAGCGGTAGCTAAGTTATCAAACACACAAAAGAAAAGAAAACTGTTGATTGTTATTTGTTTTAATCAGGATGATGTCGGCGTGGTAAGTCTACTCTTCGTTGACATTCCTCAGACATTCCCATCAGTTTTGCACCTGTTTGGTTGGGAGAAGTTAAACCTTTATCATCCCGATTGTTTGGTGAAGGTTGATGACCTCATGTACTACCAGCATGGCTCCACCCAACTGCACAGAGCCTTTATTTTATGTGCAGAAATGTGCTCTGCATGCTGTTTGTAGCCACACAGTAAAACTGAATGGCCTTGCAGTGAGAAGACTTACTTGGCACTGACATTTGCAACATTAGGAAAATAAATAAAAATAAAGAAATTGGAGGATGAACATCACCCATGTGGAAATTTTAATTGCGTTTTCATCCTTAAATAACATTTTAAACAACAAATATTGCCTCAGTTTTTGCAGGATTTCTCTAACTGAAAAGAATATTGTTGATTCCTTCTAGTTTCACATGTTTTGAGTTTCCAACATGACTAATGCATTACTGCTTCCCTCTGGCACAAATGAAAATTACAGGACACAGGATGAACATAGGCATATTTCAGAATGGATGTATTGAACGCGTTCTTTATCCACGCCGCAAAATTTATTGTCCCAGTTCTAAAGTTTCACATAAGATGCAGTTATATTTCATAATGTCAACCAAATGTTCTGTAAACGGCCTTAAATTATTCCTATACAATTGTCATTTTTGCCCATCAATCTACACTCACTAACTCATGATGACAAAAACTGAAATCTCTCATTTATAGAAATATTCAGACGCTTTGCTGTGGTGCTCCAGATTGTGGTCAGGTGAGATTTGTCTACAACTTAACTGGAGTCCCACCTCTGGCAAAACCAAGGCATGAAGTTGAAGGAACCCTCCGTAGGCCTCCATGATAAAATTGTGCTGAGGCATAGATCAGGGCAAACGTATAAAACCATTTCATGTGGGTTTGGCCTCTTCCTAGAGTTGGCCGGGCAAGAAGATCGTTTGTCAGGGAGGTGACCAAGAACCTAACGGTCACTTTAACAGAGCTTCAGAAGTTCTCTGCAGAGATGGAAGAACCTGCTGGAAGGACAACCATCTCAGCAGCTCTCCATCAATCAGACCTTCATGGCAGATGGAAACCACTTTGAGTAAAAATAACCCTTGGCTTATAAGACAAAATTTTAACTTTTTGGGCACAACTCCGAAACACTATGGTCAAGCAAACACCAAGCACTGCTCATCACCTGGCTAATACCGTCTCTATGGTGAAGGGCGGTGGTGGCGGTGGTGGCGGTATGAGGGTGTTTCTCAGCTGCAGGGACAGAAACACTGGTCAGAACTGAAGGAAGGTGAACACGACCTGAGACTGGTGCGATTGTTCAACTTTCAGCACGATAATGACCTGAAGCGTACCGCCAAGACGAGGCTGGAGTGTCTTCAGGACGAGTCTCTGACTGTCCTTGAGTGTCCCAGTCAAAGTCCAGACTTAAACCCTAGAGAGCATCTGTAGAAAGATCTGAACATGGCAGTTTACAGACGTTTCCCACAAACTTACCAAGAAGACTCGAAGTTGTAACTGCTGCCAAAGAAACTTCTACAAACTATTGAATGTAAATGAGAGATTTCAGTGTTTCTTTTTTTATGAATTATCATACAGATTTTAAAAACATGTTGTCATTTGTTATTATGGGTTACCAGGTGTAGACTGATGGGTAAAAATGGCAGTTTCAAGAATAGTGTGCAAAAACTGAAGGGGTCAGACTACTTTCTGAAGCCACTGTATATATTAAAATTTCTACTCCCACACCCACCTAATCTACTTAATGTTTCCACATCCTCTCGTCATATTAGCTGGTGTATCAACAACATTAAAACATTTAATTTCATTTATACTGGCTCCTCATATAGTGAAACCTTCAAAGTGATGGCAAACAAATGTTGCACTGGTTGCATTGTGTCATTTCCAGACACTGGAGAGTTGAGTGCTGTATGAATACCAGTTTTCATATCCTCAAAGCCTTGGTGCAAATGGTTTAGTTGTTCCACTGATTAGATCCTTTCCAGACATGAAGTTTAAATTTAATCTCTGCAGGTGTCAATCAGTGCTGTGAAAGCTGCCGTATAGCCCCGCTGGTTTGTGGCATTTTTTTCGGTGAGAAAATCGCCTTTTTGTTCTCCGTCCATGTTCCGGTCTTTTGGCAGATTTCAACAACACACAATGGCAGCATTTAAAGAGCGCTGGAAGTGGATGAAAGCAAACCACAGTAATAAGAAGCAGCAGATAGCCTCGACACATGAGGAGAGCAATTCTCTCAGCAGAAAATAAATATGAATTGTACTACTGGAGGGAAGGACACTGATTGCAATCTGCTAGGGCGCAAACAGTGTTGCACTGTGGTGAGCCATTAAAAGGCCAATTGTCCGGGATGCAAGGCCGTGGGTGGGCGGACTTAGAAATGCCCGAAAATAGGTGTTGAATATAATAAGGCAAGGTTCCCCTTTCCTAGAATAGAGAAGGAAGTGCTGCTTTTCTAAAGGGAGTAAATGCATTTATCCACATCCTCTCTGGAGTTTACAACCTATGATCTTCCGTTGTCTTGCAAAATGAGGCAACATTGTTCCCTTAATTGATAACAAATGAGCATTGAGGAAATGTGAATATAAATATATATATATATATATATATATACATATATAGTGTATGTGTACTGTAAGTCGTTGTGCTCTTTTTATGTCAGTTTATATGTCTTCACAATGGAGCTACACTTGGGATGCTCCCACACTGTAAAAGTACGTCTCTGAAGTTTTTTAACAATGAACACGTTGTCTATAAGGTTTCAGGCCATGTTTGGTATTATCTAAACACGCACCCATCCTCACTGTTACATTCAAGCATGCAAAAGTCCACATAGAAGTCGGCAGTGCTTGCTTCAGTTACCGTCCAGTAACAGTACTGTTACAGTAGTAATCAAATGAAAGTTTCTCAATTCACGCAATGTTGCATTTTTTCCCCCCAGAATGTTTTTTAGTAAATGTACCATTTCACCGAGTCTCCAAGAGTCATATTTATGTTACAGCTCAATATCTTGAGTGGGACTGATGTCTGATGACAGAAACACGAAAGAAGAAAAGACCTTGTCGGGAGTGTTAAAGGCTGGTAGGGAAGGCACTTCTGCTCTCACGCCATACCACAGGAACTCAGGCTGATTACTGTCAAGCCTCAAATTACAGTCCTCTAAAGGGTAACATCTTCTTCAATCTAAGCACCCCCATCCCCTCAATCCCCTGATCCCCCGCCTGTCTTCAAGAATGACACAATTAGGGAAAATATGGGATAAGTCCACTAAATGCAACATGTTTTCTATTCATTTTTTAAATATGCCTGCCCTGAGTTTTTACTGTGGTGTAATTCCACCCTGAAACCCAAAAAACCAACAAGGAGATAGACAGAAAATCATACTCTGTTTTGCAAAATTCAAAAGATTTCTCCGGCTTATTTCAGTTCTGTCATTTATTTTTTAATTATATTTTTCTGGAAAAGGTTTTTTTTTTTTTTTTTAAATCATTTTCCTTTCATTCATTCAGACATTCCTTCTAAACCTTTTACACAGTAGAGAATCAGAGAAAAAAGTAGAACTCCAAAGTCTTTACAGCACGGGGATTCAGTGTCATGGTCCAGTAACTTGCAAAACAAGGCCTGATTTGGAGGGGGGTGGATTCTCCCTTCATCAAAAATGTTTGATGACCATAATTGAATTACAGGGCAACAGTAGTAATGTAATCAGCACGTTTCCTGTCATGGTAATAGGCTGCCTGTTGAACGAGGGTGGGCAGCACTAGAGGCCTCACATGTGAAGAATGTCCCTCTTTGTTGTGTGCAGATCACTCTGTTTCTCATCTGCCTCTTTCTCTGACTCCTCGTCCCTCTCAGGTCCTCTGAAGATGGACAGTTTTGCTGACAAGAGGCCCCTGCTGGGGGTTTGCAAGAGCACAGGGTCCTCCGGGTGAGTTCACACATCGTAGTAAAACTGAACACTCTGCTTCTCTTTTCCCATGTGCTACTGTGAGTCTGAGTTTGTATTTACTGATTAGAGAACCATCAACCACATACAAAGGGGGGGGCTGGTAAAACCTTTATGGAGTTTTTGACCGATGTGGTGGCCCCGCCATCGGGACTTGTCCTGGCATGTCTGATGGCCGAAGACGAGGTGCTCGTCAACGGCACTTCGTCGACTCAAGGCTGGGGGTCGACGAAGTGTTTTAACCAACAGATGTCGATTGGGATTTTTCCAACAGTTCCAACCAAGCTGCTACCTGATGCTTAGGTCCGGCGGGGGTTCAACTTAGGCCAGGTGGCCCGCCAGGCTTGGAATACACTACCGGAGACCCTAAACAAATGTGAAATACACAACATTGATTAAAATAAACCATTAAAATAGCACCAAAAATGTCCCCCAATGCATGTATCAATGAAGGCAAATGTGCATTTCAATTATACAGCTTAGCTTAAGCATATAAATTGTAAACACAACGGGGCCTCAAATTGAACCTTGAGGGACACCACAGTGTAATATGTGTGTAGAAGACTAGCAGTTCCCAGAAACAGAAAGTTATATGCCTCTACTAAATGAGGACACCTTGTTGTGCATTGCCACAGCAGGTCAATACACAATCAGTCGTGGTTAGTTTGGCCAAAATCAATCAAACTAAACTGTTTACCTATTATACTTTGATTTGTTGGATAAATTCTGGCCATGTACATTGGCCACAAACATGTCAATATGATAAATGTCATTTGAGATGTTTTTTTATTTATACAAAGCCAAAGGTTAAAAAACATTTACAACGCTCTTCATCATCACAACAACAAAAAAAGTCAAAAAAACAAATCACAGGAATGGTCACACCTGATCATTTTGCTTTTACATGTTAGAAACTTTATCTGAAAGTAATAAATAAAGCATTCATTATTTCGGTACATTTACTACATTAACTTATTGTTTAACTTATTTAACTACATTAAATAACTTGCAGAACAATGACTTGGTCCCCCCTCTGCTCATTCTGACTTATGAGAACCAAATGACAATATAAGCTCATATTCATATTTGTTGGTTCAGTCTTGACCCTTTGCTCTTTTCCAGAGGCCTAAGGAAATAAAGTTGTTCGAAGGATCTTGATACTTAATTGACTTGCTGTTAAATTGCAGTGTGACCCAATGAAACAAGGACTGTAAGATACAAGTAAATCCTTATTGGGCTACATTCAGGGGGGGATCTACTTAAGTACACACTGACCAGAAAGACGTGGACTAAAGCAGCATGTGTTGTTTTATCTGTCAAACGTGCAGAGTCAGAGGAAAGAGGAACACAATTCCTATAACTGAAAGTAATTTTCTGTTAATAACAAGAGACATCAAAGGACACCCAACTTCTTATTATGAACCCTTCACATGCACCCGACCAGAGCTGAGCCAGTGATGTGGGCTTAGTAACTGTGATTCATAGGTTCTTAGTGGCACTGTGGCTGGAATGTGAGCAGTACCTGAACCCCCCCCCCCCCATAGGCAGACAGAGGGGAGATAAAACAGATGTGTAGATCCTGGATATCTTCTGGGTGTGGGACTGGGGATGTCATGTCTTTGTTTAGTGGAAGAAAGTGAATTCAAGAAGTGACAGACCCCAAGGCATGTTGCACTCGCCTACTCATACTCGGTCCATGCTCTTCCCCCTCATTCCCCCTCCTCCATTTACTTATGCTGCTCTTCCAGAGCAACACAAAATTTAACTCAATATATCCTCCCAGGGAAATGAAATAAGGAAGTCTGACTTCAGCTGGGCCTTGATGGAGACCACCTTCTTGATGTTTTCCAGGGACTGCCGCCCCTGTCTCTCTAACGCCGTTACGGTTGCTTCTGCTTTTCCTATGTCCTCACTGACTCTGAGACAGGCAGCGTTTTGACGGTTTGGCGAATCACCCAGGCGTCGCTCGACACTAATGCTGAAAACATGCACTGTGTTGAAAAGCAGAAACCCTGACCTCTGGCTGAATGGCACAGCCTGGTTGTTCCCCCTACAGAAGTGCTTGGTAAATAACACTCTGGTCAAAGACGAGAAGGAAAAAGGCTTCCGGGTGCAGCGCTGTACTTTCCATTGGGCCTGTTCATAAACTTACTAAGGTCCTCACACAATTTTTAGCATATAATCATTTTGAAATAACAGCTTTTGTTAACCACCAAAAAGGATGCCGTCTTGACACTTAAATGGAAAACAGATTGGAGCCTTGGCCGCTACAGCAGTGCTGGTTTAGAAGTTGGTTCAGTCAGCTCTAGGCTTAGATTACAAGATTTGCAAATTAAAGGAAAACCAGAGAAGGGAAAAAGCATGTGTGCTGAAGCCCTGTACTTGTGGATTTCCAGCCAGGCACACTCAACATAATTTTATCAATGGAAAGGATTATGCGTTAAGTCCAAACAATGTATGGATCCAGTGATTTTCTTGACAGTAAAGCTACATATGCGTCCCTTTCACTCTCTGCACCAGTGCCAGTGGGCTTCGGGAATTAGTAAAGAATGCTGGTGCCATTGCAGACCTTGGTATGTCTGCTCACATTTCTGGAAAGGATTTGTGTTTCCTTCCCCTGCTTGTGTTGTTATTATTTTCATTCAGTTTAATTACATCCATAGGTATTAAAATTATGGGAGATTTAAGGCAGCTCTCTCTCTTTCCCTCCCTCTCTCTCTCTCTCTCTCCCTCTCTCTCCCTCTCTCTCTCGGTGAATGTAAATTTTATGGCCAACACAGACGCAACTTAACTGTTTGTGGGAGTCTGAGTGCACACACGTCTTGGGCAAAAGTTCAGTGATGAATAAGTGCGCTTTGTTCTCCGGGGTTTGGGAACTGTCAGTGACATTTCCAACCTCCGACTGCCCCCTCACAACATCTCCAGATGCTGAGAGGATGTGGTCCTTTTTTCTTTTAACCAATATAGTCTTCTTTCACCGTGCAGATTACTACTAGATGTGCTACTTTGAGGTTATAGCTAATACACATGGATATTCTGAGCAGATATTGTGGTCACCGTTGAGGCCTTTTTTTTTTATTTTTGGAAAGACTTTATCTGGGTTTTTATCTGCTTCATATTGTCCACTATCATTCCTATCTTATACCGTCATTTTAGTTTTGTGAGGAAACCCCAAATGTCATTTCAAGAGGCAGATACAACTAATTCTTTTTCATATCTCCTCCTACATTTAACCATTAGATGACTAATTATTTTTCACTGAGTTAAATGATTGATTATTGAAATTATTCAACTGTAATGGCATTTTAAAGTGTGAAATATGAACTGAGTGCTGTGGATTTGGCAGCACTTGTGGTTACAGATCTCATTGTTGTTCTGTGTGGAACAAAGGTGTAATTACAGCTGTAACGTGACATGCAACATGGAGCCTGCAGGAAATATATCACAGCAGAGCCGCAACCAGACAAACACACTGAGTATTTTATTTAGAAGATAATCCACCTTTTCAAAAATATGCAGAACTAATCTTTGTCACCATGTGAGAGGAGCACGTTTGGTCAAATTAAATGATGCTTCTGAATATTTCATAAAACATGACCAAGTTAGCACTTACTATGCACTTCTGGTGCACTTCTTTATTTTGATCTCCTTGCACTCATTAATAGATGTAGTACTTAGTATTTACTGCAAGGTGATGTCAGTGATGTCCCTCCCTCAGTACATTTGTCAGATTCAGTCAGCTTAAAAACCTGTTGAAGTTTCTGTAAAAAATTAAATGTGGCCATTTCTTTATATCCTAATTACCACCACATTTGCTGTGTAAAGGCAGTAGCTCCAGTCCCAAGTAGTTTCCACATTGTAAATCATTTTAAGTTTGTTCAACTCCGAAATATTAAGTTCCCCCTCTGCATTAAAACTATGTGATACCACATCATTTAATGAGCTTTAAAACATTTAAAACTAACACAGTGCAGTTCCCTGAACTTCAGAAAACAAGTTTAAAGTCAGACATGGAAGTTTTATCGAGAGGCATCGGACTGACAGTCGGATGTGGAGGGATTTCACTTTTCAATCCAGCATGACCAACGTGTATCTGGCTTATAATAATCAGGTCAGTTTCATGGTGTGTTGCT